TTGTCGATGGAGGGCCTAATTTTCATCATTCGCCTCAGGGCCCCTCAAACACAGGACCGGCTCTGATTACGATGTTCATCAGTTGGGTGAATAATATTCTAAAGGAGCCAATGGCGAGAGATTTAAATGGGAAAAAAAAATCAATAGAATTTGTTAAGTGTTGTTTTTTCTATAAAGCATATAATAGTCATGCAAGAAAAATAATAATAATTATCAATAATGTTAATCACCCGTTGATTCTTAAGAATATTGAAGTCGATAACCAACTATTTTAAAATAACATTAAAAAACAAAACACGTAAAAGTAACACCAAATGTTTCAAGAATAGTTGAATGACGAAAAAAAAAATGTAACCTTCGGTCCCGTTTGGCACACATTAATGTAAAAATGAAAATGAAAAATATAGATGCTAGGGCCCCACACAAGAAAAATAAAAAATCAAATATAGTAGTTTGATGTGATGGATAACAATAATATTTTTCATTTTAATGGGCAAATAATGGAAAACAGACGGGGGCTTATTATGTAAATGATAAGTGCGTTTTTACACACTTATTTGGCCACAAAATATGATTAATTTTTTATCAAAGCCTTTAAATTATGGCTTAATTCTATATAATTATGTTTTGTAGGACTATATTGATGAATGTGGCGAAATTCAAGAGAGAAAAAAAACGAAAAAAGATCAAAAAGGAAAGAAATACAAAGTACGAGGACTAAATTGCAACAATTTAATAGTTAATTCGGACCATACAATGGAGACTAAAAATGTTTCCGGTTCAATTGGATACAATTAAAAGTCAAAGGGTTGAAAATACAAGAGAAATTACTTAAAAAATCAAGAATCCACTTTGAGGGCTAAAATGCAATATTCGGGAATTCTTTATAACTAAGCGTCAGTCCGGTTATTTTGAGTGGGCGACTACCCTATGTCAAAAATTAATTGCCGAGAAGAAAAAGCTTGGGCAACTGCCCGAGTTTTATCTAAGCGACAGCCCAGGACAATCGTGGCAAAAAATTTATAGTTTCCTATTTTGACTGAATTTTTTATAGAAACAAATCTTTGGAGGTATTTTACAATCTAGGGCCGTCCCTAAGCATACACCACGTATTATAACATATTCATAAAGATTTTTAGAGAGGAGAACAAGGCAAGAACATGAAAATTGACATCAAGACGCAATGATTCAATTCAAGATTTAAAGCGGTGATGTCTTTTTATGTTAGGCTAGATTTTTATGTGTTAGGAGATTGATGAACCTTATAATGTGATTCTTAATTCCTTGTTTCATATTTTTGACATTAAAACACGTTTGATTATTTTGAATGGTTTATATGCATTTAATTTCCCCCATAAATATTGGGCCCGTAATTGTGTGAGTGTGATGATCAATTTCTTGCGTTCGAGAGAAGGAGAATATGTTCGATAATGTATAAATCATCGTAAAGTCCAATAGGGGATAAAGATATACCGCTATGCTCCGCATGAATCTTTAAGTGCTCATAAAATTACAAACATTTTTGTATATTTGCACACGTTATAGAGATATAAGCTAGTGGTATATGAGAGTAGGTTCAACATTGCTCGAGAGAGACTGGTGGCTAGATTTAGGAGCAATGATTCTTCATAATTTGAACGTGTTGTCAAATTATAGAACTAGGGTTAAATTGAGTATTGTTTGAGGATTAGTGATCCTAGTGCACGTTATATTCATTACTTACATCAATCTTGCATTTAAAACGTAATTCTGCATTTTAGTCCATTAATTTCACATACAATTGCACATTTAATCTAGATTAGGATTAATCAAGTCACATTGATCTTATTAGATAATTTGGTTTTTGGTTAAGGCTGAGATAAATAATAATGAACTAAATCAATTTTTGTGGGACGATATCCAGACTCAATTGATCCACTTTATTACTTGTTAACGAACCTTACGCTTGCGGTGATTTAAATTGAACGAAGATATTTTGTGAACAGTAAACATAAGATAAAATGTTTTCATTTTTTCTCTTGAGGATCAAAATCCAAACAAAGCCATAAAGTAGTAAGAACTAATAAAAATTCTTCATCTTTATAGGAGTCTTTCTCAAGTACATCTCAACATCGACTTTTTGAATTAAAATAAGAAAAATAATATTTTACTTTATATACATACTTAAATTTTTGTGTGTAAAAAAAAAATACTTCAATAGGACGGCCCTAAAAGCACACATGGTAGCGTTCTATTTAAGGGGGTGTTTGAGAGCTATTTTTATGTAAAAATGTATTTTAGAATAGTAAATTGATCGAAAATGTATGGTTAAAAAATAAGGAATTTTTTTTTTATTTATATGTAATATTATTTTAATAAAAATGTGTAGTTAAAAAAAAAAAAACATTTTGAACGGCTTAAATAATGACAGTTCAAACTCTGAAGCATTCAAGTGACTCATCCACTGCCAAATGCGTTCATCCACTCACTTTGTTTTTCCCATACGTGGCATTTGAGCATTGGCCTCAGCCGTCAACTATTGGATGAGAGATCGCATTTTCACGTGCAGGAAGATAACGCTTTTTAATTTTTAGCCCCACTACGAATTAGCACTTTATGCCATGTCAGACAAAAAAGTGACTTCCAAATGACAGAGGGACAAACAAGTTAGATAACGTACCTTAACTCCCATGCCATGCCCTTTTGCCAGAACACACTGTCTCATTCCTGTGACTATCTTTATCCACTTTCCTCTTTTTTATAATCGATACAGATAAAGCCACAAGGTCTTCTGATTTTCTTCTGATTCAAAGAATTTAACTCCTTGGAAAATGATTTCAGGTTGGTTTTACGTTTATAATTCATGTTCTTTGTACTTCATTCTTGGAGTTCTTTCAGAAGGAAACGATGAGAAATTACTGCAAACTCATTTCTGTTTAAGGCTTTTAGCATATTTGGTATGGGATTAGATAGTATTGGACAGTATGCAAAAAAAAAAAAAAAAAAAAAAAAGGAAAAAAAGAAGCAATCGTCAAGCATAAGAAAGGTAATTTTAATTACTCAGGCATATAACTTACGTCATAGTTTTTTGCCGGTGACATGGACAAAAGCCAAACATAGTCAAATAAACATTAATTATTACATTGCTTCCCAGTTAACTCGTATGATCAGAATGTCATGAAAAGTTGTTATACTAAGCTTGCAATCAGTTATCGTTAAAATGCAAGTATGAAACTGACGTCTTTTCTATATAGATTAATGTCACACGTGCTCTTTTTCGAGCACAACTAATTTGCCAGAAAAAGGATGGCAGAATTAAAAAATGCTTGACACTCAAGCTACGAAAATGCAGACACAACAAAAGAATTAAAGAAAAAGAACCACGTAGGAAGAACTGAAACTCAAAACAATGAAAACAAAACATCAACAACAACAACAACAAATAGAAGAACCCACTCTGATTTTCAGAATAGTAACGAGATAAATTTAAAACTTCGAAGAGAAACCCAGCAAAAGTTCAAAAGAAACCAAGTAGCAGAACTTGTAAATCGAGAGCTGATCCACCGATTAAAATCTAATACTGTATGTGCATAATAAGAGAGTCATTTTTTTTTTTTATGAAGAGAAAATATACAAATTAAAAATAAAAAAATAAATACAGAATTTAAACAAAGTAAAAATCCCAATCAAGAATCCTAATTGTATCATAAATATCAAAAAATTCATTAAACCCAACAAGAAATTGGATACTGTAACTTCAGAATTCCAAATTTAACAATACGATTACAACTATGCAAAATTATCAACAATTTACATCCCTGTCTCGTCCCAACAACATAAAAAGGAAGATTTCATGGTCAACAATCATGAGTTCACAACCCACCCGCGGTAAAACCCATAAAGATGCAGACCCATTTCAGGTTTAAAACTAAAATCACAAATAAAATCAACGAAAACAATACATACCACTACAAAATTCACAACAACATTGAGCACTACTTACGATTCAATAACGTCAAACAAGTATCGAGGTACACACATAAACATGATTTTATTTGCAAATACCTAGAATCGAAACGCAGACTGAAAGATTTGACTCTGTACTAGAATCAGTGCGAAGGCGCGAAGATTATAGTGAGGGGACTAGACAGATCGCGCCTGCATTTCTTCACCGTTGATTTGTAGGTCCCCTCTTATACTGTAACCTACATATTAATGCCTATTTTCCCACTTTACCTTGAATTTTCGTGAGGATGGCCAGAGAGTTAAATGTATGAGGAGCCATTCAACTTTGATACATGTCATAGTTTACTCATTGTACTTTAAAATTTATTTGATTGGTCATTCAACTTTACTCTATCCAACTCCATTGGCCATCGGATGAAAAACGTTATTGAATTTGCCCACGTGACTAATTTTAAGGTGACATGGCACGTTAAATTGTTAATAAGGTGTCACACAAAGACCAACTAAGCAATGCCAAACACAACTTTAGCCTTGAGAGAAATTAGAACTATTAATATCGCTATTTATTCTCAACCCAAAAAACATGTCTTCTTCAACTTCTATGAACTCATACTTGAGAGGAACCATCTGGCACACCCAGGCCCTGTTTGGCACCCATTTTTATCAAAATGCATTTTTCTCTCTCTTCTTTTCAACCACACATTCTTTATTAAAATAATATTACACG